ACACACACACACACACACACACAACAGGGGGATGGGGAGCGAGGATGGTGGGAAGAAGAGAGGAATCACCAAGCACAGGAGACAACTGGTAAAGGCATTAAGAGCCGGACATAGCAATAAATAAATAAATAAATAAATAATAATAATGATGAAAGATAAGCCTTGATGGAGGATTGTGCGGAATAACAAGGACCGAGGAACTCAGGCAAGTACTGGAGGGCGGCACGCCCCAGCTGGCACACAAGCTCGTTCAGAGCCTATTACGCCACGAGAGATGTGCGAAGGGCAACGGTTATGGGCCAGGAGCACGCTCGCAGCTTGCAATAAACCCAAGTCTGATTTTGCGCACAGTAATACGAATAACAAGGCATGCGCAGTAGTGACGTTTCGCTCAAATGGGCGGGACAATCAGAAGGCGTGTGAAACGAATCGTATCTTCCCAATCAAGGGGAGTTGTTTCAATTTTTTTCTGCTATTGTTTTTATTTTTTGTTTTTGATCTTTGATTGATTTGCGTAGGTCTCCCGCCTCACGTCACCAACAACATTTGTATTGCCTACGGGCAATATCTCTCGGAAAATAACAATGACGGGGCACTATTTTCTTTTTCTCTTTCCTTTTTTTTGTCTTTTTCGTACATAGGTCACCATAGTGATGTTTCGCCCAACTGAGTAGGACAGTTAGAAGGCGTGTGATGCGGATCGTATCCCCCCAATCAGGGGGAGTTGTTTTAATTTTCTTCTATTGTTTTTTTTTCTTCTTCTTCTTGATTTGTGATTCTATTTTTTTTGTGTAAGTTTAACGCCTTAGTTCACCAACGGCATTTGTAGTACCCGTGGGCAATATCTCTCGGAAAGTAACGATGACGGGGCATTATTTTCTTCTTTTCTTTTTTCTTTTTTCTTTTTTTATTTTTTCGTACACAGGTCACCAGTAGTGACGTTTCGCTCAATTGAGTAGGACAATCAGAAGGCGTGTGATACAGATCGTATCCTCCTAATCAGGGGAAGTTGTCTCGAATTCTTCTTTGCTACCGTTCTTTTTTTTTTTTTTTAATGTTTTTGTTCTATTTTTTTGCTAAAAGTCTCCCGCCTCACGTCACCAACAACGTTTGTATTGACCGCGGGCAATGTCTCTCGAAAAATGACGATGACGGAGCACTATTTGAGCAAGTGGAACATCCCTCAGACTCCCATCATCGGATCAGCGCACAGGCTTCCCGCTCGACCGTAATTCAAGATTGCGGACCGAACGGCGACATACATTCCTGTCGACAGAAGATCGGGTAGACGGTGTTTTTTGCGCCGTGTACAGGGACGTCAGTGCTTCGCGATCGCTTTCGCCATGGATTACCAGGTGTATCAGGAATTGTTGGATCAAATGATCGATGACGAAGAAGATAGGGTTTAAGCTTCCTCGCCCTCACCCCCAAATTTCCCTGGGTGTCTTGATCATTTATGATGCACCACGCATGCGCCACGAGGCTGCACGATCTTCCATTCTTTGCGTTGTTATCGCATTGCACACTAGGGGGTTGCGCTGCTAATAATGTTAGTCTTCTTTCTGTTTCAACTTCTACGTTGGGCAGTTTGCAGACTAGCCGAGCTAGGGGCGATGACGTTAAACAGAGAGCGGGCGGATGAGAAGATGGGGATAGCGATCGAGATGTCAGCCTATGTTTTGCTCGCTTTCGTTGCTTTACTTGCTTTTCTTTCCTTTCTCGCTTTCTTACATCACTTGCAAGCTCTGCCACCTCCATCACCGCTCCGACTCCTGAAACAATTGTGACTTGAGAGCAGGTGTCCTCTCTGATGAAGCCGTGTATTGGTGGCTAGCGGCAGAAAAGCACTTCAGGGATCACCACTACCCTCCGTACTTTGGTTATTGTGGCAGACCTCCCATATTACGCGGAGTTGCCTCTGGGGATGCAGCTGGTCTCTTCATGTTCATTTTTTCGTACGAGTCTTCGTGCCATGTTGTCTGTTGATTGGGAAGGAGGAGGAAGAAGTGACACTTCAACTTTTTGGCCAGAAGAGAGTTAATTCTTTACTGTAAGGAGGGCATTGGATGTGTAATCGGCATATATTTCTCTTTGAAATGTGTTCACTCATGTTTTGAATTGCGTTCTGTGTCTGAATGGATGATTTAGAGACAGATGTGAGAAGTAATAAGTACGATGCATGACTTATAGATATATAAAGAAATTTTTATGACGAGCGAAGTTGCCTCTAGACATAATATCTATCCACGCATCGACCGACTAAGATCGGCGAAGAGATTGGATGTTATGGTGGATGGCAACGATTGGGTACTATGATTTAAGGACAGATATGAAAAACAATAAATACGATGCATGGCTTATATATAAGCATATATATTGTTAAATAGAATATATATATATATATATATACATATATATATATATATATATACAGGGTTACCTGATTGAATGTTTGGGGGTCCGCGGGCTGGCCCCCGAACGTTCGGGCGTTCGGGGTCCTGTTCGGGGGCCGAAGACCTCCAGGTTCGGCCCCCGCCAAAATTGTTTTCGGGGCCTAAAAATAAGTTTCTTTTTTCTGAATTTTGTTTTGTGAGTTTCTATGATGTAGCCTACACGCCTATAAATTTTAAAGCCATTCAGCTAAGCCAACAAAACACAAAACATCTTCAAAGATGGGGGTGTCAAAACGTGCTCGCCCACTCACTATTTTTTTTTTTTTCATTTTTAATTTTTTGTTTTCACTTTATTTTGGGGCCTAAAACATTTTACTATTTTTTTAATTTTTTTTAACGAGTTACTGACTATGTAAACTACATACCTGTAAATTTTCAGGGCATTTGCCGATGCCAAAAAAAATTCAAAATCGGCAAAGATGGCGGTGTCGAAAAGGTGCTGGAACACTCACTCATTTTAATTCTCTTTTTATTTTTTCTTATTTTTATCACAGTGTTTATTTTTTTTATTTAATTTTTAATTCAAATTTGGTAAAGAATTTGGATGTAGTGCCCAGGCAAATGTTTTTCAAGTTATTTTTTTCCAAAACATATTGTTTTTTCGGAATTGTTTAAAAACTTTTTTTTTTTTTTTTTTGGGTCCGCGTTCGGCTTGAACTGCCGAACGACTTCCGAAGGGGTCCCGTACGTTCGGCGTTCGGGTTCGGGCGTTCGGCCCGGCCCGAACGCCGGCAACCCTATATATATATATATATATATATATACAGGGGGGGAGAGAGAGAGAGAGAGAGAGAGAGAGAGAGAGAGAGAGAGAGAGAGAGAGAGAGAGAGAGAGAGAGAGAGAGAGAGTACGTTTTGTTCCGTGGTTTCGCATGTAATTGGCGGGGGCGGTGTTTGCATGTGGGACTTGCCATCTAGGATTTTCATTAGGATTTGCTTTCCAGCCCCCTGTTCGTTTTTGTTTGGGCTGTTTCCTTCCTCTTTTTGTTTGCGTCTTTGCCGTTTGGATGTGTGCAAGTGGGTCGATATGACACAGAGGGGTGGGGGCAGCCGCCGCCTAACCTACATTCCACGAGGGCGGCCGTACGCAAGGGGTTCTGAACAGGGGGAGTTGTAAGGAAGAAGACGAAAAACGAATTGATTTTTTTTTATTGCTTTTGTTTGCTTCTTTCGCTTTTGTGTTCTGATATGTATTTGACGATATATATGTCAGGATAGATAGATAGATAGATAGA